CACTCTGGTCAATGATCGCCGCCACCTTAAACCAAAAGAACGACAGCAAATGGCAATGAAGCTTCTTGGGAGAGCCAAAACAGCGACGATCTCCAACGGGTGTGTTGAAATGCTGGCCGAAAAGTATGGCTGCTCATCGAGGACCGTGTACCGTGTGTGGAAAAAGTGCCGTGGTGCGCAGAGTGGCGTGAACTTGAATCTATTAAGCGGACACTTTGGCAACACCAATGCGAGGAAGTACACGCCGTAGAAAGTTGCCACCGTGCTCGACAAGATCCGAGCAGTACCGCAAGAGAAGAGGTCCGAGCTGCGCTCCATTGCATTCGCTACTGGTGTTCCCCGAACGAGCTTGTTGCGTTTGATCAAAAGTGGAGGCTCATCCGCAAAACCATGAATGTGAAACCTACGCTGTCCGAAGACCAATGCAAAGCCCGTGTCGAGTTTTGCAAGTCTTTCCACAAAAAAGTGCGCCAAGACGTTGTGTACGATGGCATGTTCGATGTTGTCCACATCGACGAAAAGTGGTTTTTTATGAAGCGTGTAAAATCACGAGTTTACCTCGTTGATGGTGAAGAACTTGAGTATGACACGACTCAAAGCAAGAGATACATTGGCAAAGTGATGTTCCTATGTGTCGTTGCACGGCCAAGGTATGATTTCGAACGGCGCAAGTATTTCGATGGCAAACTTGGCATGTGGCCCATCGTGGAGCAAACATTCGCCAAACGATCCAGCCGCAATCGGCCCAAGGGCACTCCTATCACAACCAGTTCCTGTCAACCGGGATTTGTACCGTTCAATGCTTGTGGATATAGTTTTCCCTGCGATCTGTGAGCGCTTCCCCAGGGTTTGCCGGCTGTTGAAAGTCCAGCAAGACAATGCTGGACCGCATTGCCTGCCTGACGATTGCTTGCTCCAAGAGGCCCTAAAGGGTAAAGATGGTGAGATCGAGATCAAGATGCTGTGTCAACCTGCGAATTCACCAGACTTGAACGTTCTTGACCTTGGTCTATTCAACGCTATCCAGTCCATTCAATACAAGAGTCGAGTACGTACAATTGAGGAGCTGATTGACTTGGTCAAACAATCGCTTAGTGACTTGGAACCCCGTGCTTTGAATGACATTTTCTTTTCGCTACAGAATGTAATGAATTGGGTCCTGGAGAAGCGCGGGTCAAACAAGTTCAAGTTACCTCATCTGAACAAGAATCGTTTTCGTCGCATAGGTCGATTGCCGATTTCATTGCATGTTTTTGTTGGATAGCTAGCAGATAATCATTCTCATGAATTTACTACGTGTTAATAGCCAATCAGTGTTGTCCATAAACTTCTTTGACCAATAGTCGAGGACTGACATTTTGTTTGGACCAAAATTCGACTGGGCCACTGACATTTCGTTTGGACCAGAGTAGTAGATGTTCTTCAGGCAGCTGAAGACACTTGTGCTGGGTACCTTTGGCCAGATCGCGCTTCTTGAATCGACAGTCCACTGCATGGTGGCCGATCTTGTGGCAATAAAAACACTTAACCTCGGCATGTATCTTCGACGGCTTGGGAGCACCGTTCTTGGACGTGTCAGCGGGTCGTCTTTCACCTCGCTTGACAGCGCTACACCTTTCTTGGCCAAAAACGATCGATGATTTGCTTCAATGTAGGAATAGGCTCACGGCTACGCAGAAAACGGCTACGCAGAAAATTCACGGTCGTGCATACACTTCCTTGCAACTTGTCAGCAGCATCTCGTCGTCGACACGCGATACCATGAACAGCAGCTTCTGTTGCAGAACACGCATCTCCATCCCGTGCTTCTACATTGGCGTTCCGGCCACGTGCACCTTGCTATTGAGCTCGTGGATGACATGCGACACGTTGGCATACGTTCGGGCTTCGTAACGGTCGATGAGGAGCTCCCACACTTTGGCCGATGTCGCCACGTGAGACACATACGCTGAGTCGAAACCCCCACGATTTGGACCCAATTTTGGTCCAAATCGCGGTTTCGAAGGCATAAAGTGCACGATTTGGACGCAAATTTGGCCCCAAGTGGTGCCAAAATCCGCGATCATGCTGACGACGACACGGGCGACGACACAGATGACGAAAAATGTGTCCATGCAGGTGACGATGCGAGTGACTAAATTTGGCAGGATGCAGATGACGACGCGGATGACGATATCCGTGGCCAAGTAACCGTTTTCGCACGCCGCAATCAACGGAGTTAGCCTCTAAGCCAGCGTGGTCATGCCAACGCAATTGGATTCTGTCAAACGGACGGCTGTGGCGACATTCACGTCGATGGATGGGTGGCTGAGAAGGAGCTGGAAGACTTCGACGTGCCCGAGACCGGTGGCTAATGCAAGAGGAGGGTGCGACTAAAAACCCAAGTGAGCGATTGCTCGATTCGTTGTGTTCAGGCGCGTACATAGTTGTACAGGTTCACTTGGATCGCAGGCTGGGCGAGCAGCAGGGACACCACTTCCAGACGCTCTTCGACGCACCCTACACAAAGCGGTGTGTCCTATGGCGGAGTGTGTCGCCATGGTCCGCGTCGCCACGACCTGATGATGGGTGAATTGGTTCACGTCGAGACCTCCACTTGTTGCCCGGTCCATTTGAGACCGCACAACCGGCACGTCTCCAGCTTGACATGCCAAGTAGAAGAGTTCGTTCGCGTTCACCTGGGTAACAGCAAACATAATGCATGTCGACGGTCGTGAGCGCCGAGTACGTTTGAATTGAGACGCTGCATGGGCTGCAGCAGAATCGACTTTTTCAAGCCCGCACTGGACTTCGTACGATCTGCTGTTCCTGCGGTGTCTTCGTCGTTCGTGGTACCGTCAGGACGTGGTAAAATGGAACCATCGCCAGTGGACGCATCGCCTGCGTTGGTGGCGGCTCCTTCCACTTCCTACGATGCAATGCAATGCCCGGTCATCTGGCGCCTCGATGGAGTGGTCCAGCTTATCCAGCTTACATGATGTGCTTGCCGCTCTGGCGGCGATGTCGAGGCTTCCTCCATCCGAGTCGTTTTGGTAGTGTCTTAACGCGGTCGGTCTGTACTCCAACCGGCCGATGCGTATTTCTAGACTAGAACTGCCAGCAGTTGCAAAGACCGATGCTGTAACGAAGTCAAGAATGAAAATGACTTGGATTGTCGACTTAGGCTGTAGGGATTGTCGTACGAAGAATATCCGTTGAGAACACCGTTAGCGAAGCCACGTTAGGAAGGACCGTTAGAGCAGGATATCACGGCAATCAATGCACTTTTGAATTTCTTCTGGGCCTACCACACTACAGTTGGTAGTATTTCTTGGTTCACTCAAGGACTCCACCTTTCTTGAAGGTTGTGAGGGTACTCTATCTGGTTCAAGCAAAGGTTCAACGCGACCTTTCATAGCGACCAGTGTTGTGCTTGTGATTACCGAGTGCACCGGACCCACGCATGGACAAGAAGAAAGCGTGGAACCATAAGGAATTCAAGAAGGCGGAGCAAGCGGCGGCGGCGGAAAACAATATTGTCTCAAGAGAGCAATGACGGCTAAGGCGTAAAATAGGCGGTCTACAAGTGAAAGTGTCATTTACTTCCTCTGTTCCTTTTGCTTGCATGACTTTACTCGAGAGAGCATATTTTGGGCTAGAGAGAGCATTACGTAGCCCAAATTGGCGCAAATGATAGCTGGAAACATGCTCAACAAGCAGATATTTTCAGAACAATTTAATCTTCTATAACGCCAGAGGTAAAGGCCGGCTAAGCTCGGCTACCAAGAAAATCTTTAAACCCTCATAACTTCGTCATTTCTTATCCGTTTGGCTTCAAATCACGCGCAATTGCTTCGTCTTGAAGCGTAGATATTGCTAGAACCCAAAAAATTTCTGGAAGCCCAGCTACGGTCGATACAGTATGCCAAGCCCCACGACCGGTCGTGACCTTACCGACGACCAACGGTCGGCGGTGTACCATCAACTACTAAAGAAGAACGGAAGGGTCGGTCATGGGGAGATGAAGCACTTGATGCTCACGTACAACATAAGTCAATCAACGATAGCGAGAATCTGGAAGCGAGGCTTACGGTCCAGAGCCGAGGGCGAATGTGCCAAGGTCGAGTCGCTCAAAAAGGGTCGTTGTGGTCGGCGTCGTTTGTACGACAACAATGCTGTGCGGGAGACGGTATTGTCGGTCCCAACAAGCTTCCGTGGAAACTTCCGCTCCATGGCTGCTGCAACCGGTATTCCCAAGACGTGCCTGCAGCGTCTATACCTGTGGCGTCTATACAAGTCCAAGATGATGAAGCGCCGTACGAGCCGTTTGAAGCCGATGCTGACACCCGAGCATCGAGCCAGTCGTTGCGACTTTGCGCGTTCCTTCTTGCGGGGTGGTCGGAGTGGCTCACGCGTGTGACACGACATGATGGACTACGTTCACATTGATGAGAAATGGTTTTACATTACCTAAGTTAACCGCCGGTTCTATCTTTGGCACGATGAACCAGTTCCTCAACGAAAGACGCAATCAAAGCGACACATCACTAAAGTAATGTTTCTTTGCGCCGTGGCGCGACCAAGGCACGATAACCAGAGAACGTAGGACGGGAAAGTTGGTCTGTGGCTTTTCGTGGAGACCCAACATGCCAAGCGTCGAAGCAAGAACCGCGATCGAGGCACACGTGTGACAGTGCCCATGACGGTGACCAGTCTGTTTATCGACGATTCCTGGTGGACAAGGTCATCCCATCCATTCAAAGCAAGTGGCAGGGTCGACGAAACGCAACAATATTTGTCCAGCAAGACAATGCCAGGCCACATGTTGCCGTGCATGATGCTGAAGTGTTGAGAGCGGGAACCAAGAACAGTTGGAACATTCAGCACAAGGCGCAACCGGCACAGAGCCCGGACTTCAATGTCCTTGATCTGGGCTTTTTCAATGCGATACAGAGCTTGCAGCACCAAAAGGCTGCCAGGACCGTCGACGACCTCATCAAGTGCGTTGAAGATGCTTTCAAGGACCTGCACTGGTGTGTTTTAGACAAGACATTTATGACTTTGCAAAAGGTCATGGAGGAGTCCTTGTAGATGAATGGGGACAACATTTACAAGATTTCCCACCTCAAGAAGGACGTGCAAATGAAAGCGGGGGTTCGGGAATTACGGCCGTCATGTGACGATGAGGTTTTGTTGGCCATTGAATCCATGGAGAGACGTTTAGAGGACGAGCATCGTGTTGATGACATTGTAGAAACTCATGGGTTCTGGTCTTCGTGTCTCTGGGCCGGAAGCCCTTCATAGAATTGATGGGCTTGTGGAACTTCTTGAAGCCACTGCGTTTGTGTAACATGTCATGCATTTGTTCGTCGTAAATATTGGATATTGAATAAAAATATATTGAACACGTCGAAATGTCTTGGTTTTGGATACAAACATCTATATAAATTTTTGACGGAAAAAGTCATGCAAGTAAAAAGGAACGGAGGAAGTAGTTTAAATCACTGTTGGGCCAATCGAGAGTTGACAACTTGGATTCGACTCAGTTGGAGGGGCAGGTAGCGAAGAGAAAACACGGAGTTGAGGAGATCGGGGTTCTCGCAATAAAAGTAGAAGTAGAAGTAAACAGTGGGCGAAGCCCATCCGTCAATGTAGGCCAACTAGCCAATGTGGTCACGAAATCCTAACGATGTGACGTGGCCTTCGCTGCAACTGACTACGACATGAGGAAAATGCCTCTAGAAGGCACAAAAACCCTCCTACCGTTGCAGGACTATCCTGCGACCTGATGGACAGGGCAGTGGGGATGTTCTCGACAGAACAGGGTGTTCTGACTGCCTCCCAACAACTCCACGCACTGTCACCGACGTCAGGTGCCCTGGGTGCAGATAGAGGCTGGCGGTTAAGCTCAGTAAGCATAACCACCACAGGTTACACCATCTTTCGTCGTGACGAGGGCCGTCGGACACCCCTTTAGGCAGGTCCCTACCAATTGGCCCTCCCGCACGACGCGCCGGGGGAGGAGCCGGATGGATCGAGTAACCACCGGGATGCCGTTTCCCCCTGTTGTCGGACAGTCAGGGTTGGAGCGTCCCCCTCACGTGACTGCCTCGGTCACAGGCTGAGAGGCCAGGCCCTATGCTCCCTGATGAGGGGCGAAGGGGTCGAGGGGCTGCAGCTGCAGGACCCGTAGTTGACTGCGCAGAGCGCAGAACGTAGCAATGTCGAGAGGTTTCGTGAAGATATCCGCGACCTGGTTGCGCGTATCT